ATAAATGTTCCCCTGAACGCAGGAAGCAAAGCGTGTGACGCTCCGGTTTTCTCTGTTCAGGACCTGAAGCCAGCAAACCTCCTCATCAGCTCCTCGGGTCACCTGAAGATCGCTGACTTCGGCCTGGCTCGGCTGTTCAGTGAGCAGGGAGAGAGACTGTACAGCCACCAGGTGGCCACCAGGTGAGACAACACACCTGGAGAGCAAGACCATCATGCACCTGGAGAGATGCAGCGTCTCATATCGTTTCTGAATAGTCTCCTCTGCTGAACTCAGATTCAGATTCAGGTTCAGTTTGTTCAGATTCTGTCAAACCTGCAGTTCCTCTAATGTCCACTAGGGGCACCAACAGAGTGTCCTCCATGTTGAGCTTCACAGCAGAAGAATGGTTTTCGTGTCTCCAGCCGATGTCCTCATTCAGGAACGTGTACAGGAGTATTTATATGTACAACATTAGACACAGAAGACGACCACAGAGGGACACACAGTGACCACCTTTAGTAGTGTGTGTGTGTGTGTGTGTGTGTGTGCGCTGCGTTGTGTCTTCTCTTTGTGTTGTTGTGTGGAGCAGCAGATCAGGTCAGTTGTGTTGGACCAGTGAGGCTAACAGTGAACTGTGTGTTCAGGTGGTACCGAGCACCTGAGCTGCTGTACGGAGCCCGAAAGTACGACGAAGGAGTTGACCTGTGGTGAGTACACACAGAAAGTACTCCGAGTACTGCTTAAAGTACTACTAGCACGGCTACCTGAGCTGTAACATCAGGATGTGTGTGTTTGTGATCTCTGGTCTGTATGACTGAAATAAACGAGCAGCAAACTTTAGAATGTTTACATCAGTTTTATCAGAGCTGACCAGCAGGGGGCAGCAGCACCATGCAGCACCACTGCTGTGCGTGTCTGTGCTGTGTTACTGAGTTGTGTGCCTGTTGTGTGTGTGTTGTGTTGCAGGGCGGTGGGCTGCATCTTCGGCGAGCTGCTCAACTCGTCTCCTCTGTTTCCTGGAGAGAACGACATCGAGCAGCTCTGTTGTGTCCTCAGAGTGTTAGGAACCCCGACGCAGGACAGCTGGCCTGTAAGACACACACACTGTACACACTGTACACACTGTACACACTGTACACACTGTACACACTCTGTATATCTGCACACTTGAGAGGATTCCTAAAAGTCTCACGTGTTCCTCGAATGTCTTGTTCAAGTTTCCAGATATTTGATATTTGATTTGAATTGTTGTGTCCAGAAAGAAAACTCCAGCAGCCATGAGATGTGATTCTGATCATGATATTGATTATTTTGAGCTGATATAGAAAAACTTCTGAACGATCGAGAACTGATCCTTGTGGCACCTCAGAGGTCAGACGTAGAAACCCAGAAGATGACGTCAGCGGTTGATTTAAACAGTAGTTCTGCCTCCTGATTGGCTGCTGATCTGACGACAGGAGATCGTGGAGCTGCCCGACTACAACAAGATCACCTTTAAGGAGAATCCAGCGATCCCATTGGAGGAGATCGTCCCTGATACCTGCCCTCAGGCCGTCCACCTGCTCTACAAGTTCCTGGTTTATCCGTCCAGGCAGCGCTGCTCGGCCCGACAGGTGAGAACCGGGAGCTCAGGTGAGGAGGCGGAGCTCCTCAGGGCTCCATCAGAGGTCCTCTGTTGTTTTATTTAATGATGATGAAGTTTTTTTTCTGTCTGCAGATTGATTGATTGATTGACTGATTGACTGATTGACTGACTGATTGACTGATTGGTTGATTGGTTGACTGATTGACTGATTGACTGATTGATTGACTGATTGACTGATTGACTGATTGGTTGATTGGTTGTTTGATCTCCTGCAGGCTCTCCTCCATCCCTACTTCTTCTCCTCTCCACTTCCTGCTCATCACTCTGAGCTGCCCATCCCTCAGAGGGGGGGCCGTCCTCCCCGCCAGCGGCTGCAAGCTCCGCCCACCGACTTCTCGGTGGACCTGCCCCTGCAGAACAGCGTGGTCGACCCCGCACTCCTGCAGGGCCACGCCTCCTGCCTCTGAACCGACCAACCAGCTTCGCCGACTCACGTTTACCTGCTGCTGTATTTATTTGCTCTGTTTGTCGGAGGCTCTCTGCTCTGCTCATCAGCC